CAAGCACAAGGGTAGGGCAGGCATAGGGTAATGTTAGAGATGCTCTCATTCAAAAAGGGAGAAACGGGAAATGGGAGAAGGAAAAGCAACAAAGAATCGCTGCTACACAAGAAAACTGAAATCTGATCGAGAACATCCGGGGGTTTGCCGATTAGGGCTCGAGGCCTGGGAAAGATTCTTCTTGACTGTTGGCTCCGCTCGCTGGGCTCCTGGCTCTGTTTCTGCGACATCCTTCCCTTTCCATATGTGGTGGCTCAATTTTGCACCTGAGTAGTTTTTGCAGCCTGCTTCCTGCCTGTGAACGTTTGGGATTCAAAAGTCTCTTTCCCTTTGGTGATATCTCAACCCCTTTAAACCCAAGCTGGCAGCTTCTGCCAATATAATTCTCTCAAAAACTTTGTGGCTCTCCACAGTACCTTATTGAAGTTTATATCTTTTTTTTTTTTAAATCCTCACCAGAGGATATTTTTCCCATTGCTTTTCAGAGAGAGTGGACGGAAGATAGAGAGAAACATTGATGTGAGGGAGACACATCAATTGGTCGCCTCCTGCACACGCCCCGGCGGGGGTTGGGGATCGAGCCTACAACCGAGGTACCTGCCCTTGACCAGAACAAACCTGAGACCCTTCAGTCCGTGGACCGGTGCCCTAACCACTGAGCCAAACTGGCTAGGGCTGAAGTTTTTATGATGAGACAAGAGCCACACTCATAAGTTTTTGAGATAAATCCTTTGATACCTTGGGTTTCTGCTGGGGTTGCCGAGGACAATGCCTTAAACTTCTTAGAAGTCCTATTGCTTGTGTGAACAGTTCTCTGAGGCACTTCCTTAGATCTTTCTGTGGTGTAACAAAGACTTTTGCAGCCATCCCTTTGGCTTCAATTTTATTGTATTGTTAACTGACATTGCCCTGAATCGATCTCACTTGGATCCACTTCTGAAATTTTAGCATTCTTTGCCATCAAGAAAGGCTGTGAATTTTCAAAACCAACAATCCTTGGTTCCCTGTTGATTCGTAGTCCTTACTTTATTCTCTCCCTCTTTCCTTGCATTTCACTGTAAGCAGCAAGAAGCAGCCAGCAGTCAGCATTCTGCCTGGGAATGTCCTTAGCAAGATCACTCAGTTCATTAGATTTGTTTTCTAGTTTTCACATTACCATAGGTGACAGTGTTGCTAAACTTTCTGCCACCATGTAACAGGGATCCACTTTCCTCCAGAGTCCAATAACATTTTTCAGACTTGCCTGTAAGTCCTCACTGGCAGCCTCATGGCAGGCCATTAGGTTTTTGCTAACAGTCTCTTCAAGGCCCAACACTCTTCCCAGCTCCTGCCCACTGCAAAGCTTCTTCCACACTGTAGGTTTTTGCTATGGCAGCTCCTCACTTCCAGGTACTAAAAACTATACTTGTTACCTATTGCTACAAATTACACGGCTGCTTAAAGCAATTAACACTTACCTCACACAGCTTCTGTTGGTCAAAAATTCAAGGGTGGATTAACCACGTGGCTCTGGTTTAGGGTCTCTCGTTAGGTTGCAACAAGATGTTGGCTGGGGATGCAATAGCCTGAAGGCTTGTCTGGGGACAGAAGATTCGCCTTCAAGATGGCTCACTCAGCCTGGCTGGCGTGGCTCAGCTGTTGAGCATCAACCTATGATCCAGGAGATCAAGGTTCGATTCCCAGTCAGTTGACATGCCTGCGCTGTGGGCTTGGTCCCCAGTAGGGGGCGTGCAGGAGGCAGCCGACCAATGACTCTCTCATTGATGTTTCTTTCTCTCTCCCTCTCTTTTCCTCTCTCTGAAATCAATAAAGACATATTAAAAAAAAAAAAAGATGGCTCACTCATGTGACTGCAAGTTGGTGTTGGCTGTTGACGGGAGGCCCGAGTTCTCTGCCATGTGGACCTACCTATTGGGATGCTTAAATGTCCTTAGGGATGTGGCAACTGGTTTCCCCTAAAGCAAGCTATCCAAGAGAGTAACCTTCTAATTTCTTTTCCCCCAGCTTTGAGATGTAATTGACATGTAACACTAAGTTTAATGTAAGGGTACCCTTCTAAACTTTTATGTCATCATTTCCCTGCCACCTCATAGATCCATAAAAGGGTATTTATCATATCAGAAGACCCTGTATTAGAAAACATCATTATCTAAGTTTTATAGGGAAGAGAGAAACCCAAGCAGGGAAAACCAAGGCAACACAATAATTTGGGACCCACATGGGGTCTCCCAACTCCCTCTCCAGTGCTTCATGCACTGCACGTGCCGGCCCTGACATATAAGACGACCTTTGTGCCCTCTTGGAGGTGATCTGAGTTAGAGACCACTTTCTGAAAAAGCCAATAAAACAAATGCCAATTGTTGGCAGAGAGGCAATAGAATAAGAAATGAAGACGCACAAAGCCAAAAGATTATTTCACAAAGTCATTCCACTTACCCAATAGAAAATAAGTCCTTGAGCAAGTTCTACGTAGAAACACAAATTCAGAAGTGAATTCTCTATGCGCTATAATTTAAATGAAAAGGTCACAGGTCACCAGTTAAATGACCTGATTTGAAACTTTCTCTTACCAACCGAGCGTCACTTTCCTCCCAGCACTTGCTTCACCTGTGGAGCAGGAGGGACATAGGTGTGCGTCACTCGTGCTCCCCGTGGGCCAGACTCACCTCCTGCACGTCCCAGACATAAAGCATGCGCCTCGAGGACACCGTGCAAATGAATGACTTCTCCTGCCCGCTCATCGGGTGGCCACTTCCTGAGAGAAAAGCCATAGGTCCCAAGATTCCTGGAAGGCAGCACAGACAACACTTGCCCACCAGATAATTGAGGAATGATCCAGCTGAATAAAGAGAATTCTGAAACGATAATTTTAAGGGTTTTTGCAACCTTTACGGAGAACAGGATGGAAAACGGGCTTCAAACACGGGTTCCCATTGCAGACTGGCCATTGGGGAGACGTTGGCCAATTTGTTTTTCTTCTTTAATCTGTTTCCATAGATGGATATGGGGATAAAAATCATTCCATCAGCCCAGCCAGGAATGGCTCAGCGGTTGAGCATCAACCTAGGATCCAGGAGATCGTGGTTTGATTCCTGGTCAGGGCACATGCCTGGTTGCGGGCTCGATCCCCAGTGGGGGGCGTGCAGGAGGCAGCCGATCAATGACTTTGTCTCATCATTGATGTTTCTATCTCTCTCTCCCTCTCCCTTCCTCTCTCTGAAATCAATAAAAACATTTTTTTAAAATGTCACTCCATCAGAGAACTGTTCTGAATTTTAAAAGAGGCACCAGAAATAAAGTGAGCATTAGAACTGTTATTCAAACATTTCCTTTCCCTTTAAAATTTTTATTCTAGGAGGGCTGGGAAGCCTTTGGGAAAAGGGAGTAACAGGCCTGATTTAACGATGTGAAAAGCTCTCTCTGGCTTCTGCACGCAGCACAGATCACAGGGGACAAGGCAGGAAGCAGGGAGGCCAGTGACTGTCGTCAGGGCACCCAGTCCTATTAAATTTCGATTTCCTTTCTCTTCACTGAGAACATCAAAAACATATACAATGAATTTCCTAAGACAAATTAATCGTGCTGCGCCGTCCGCATACCGAGGTTGCCCGTCGCTTCCCGGTAGGCAAAGTCCTGCGGCTGTGCCCACGCCATCCGGCGCTCCAGCTTCGCGTGGGCGAGGAAGAACTGCTTCCACGTGGGCATGTCCGGACAGCGCGGGGAGAAGCTCCATCTCCTCAGACACAGGCTTCTGGGGAGAGTCACAACCCCGTCAGGTCACCCCATGGCCCCTTTCCTCGCCGCCACCGTCTCCCCCCCAGCCCCTGCTTCCCGCCTCCCCTGCCCTCCCGCGCTCACCTCCACAGGTGGTCGTTGTCCGCAACCATGTTCCAGTGCTGAGGGGGGGAAGGGGGGAGGCAGGCAATCGGCACCCAGGCCTTGGCTCCTCCTGTGCCACCACTTGTTCTGGGAGCGAGGCCCCCCCGGGTTAACCAGCCACCACCCCGGCTCTCAAAGCCCTCCCAGTCTGGATAGTGGGACATGGTAGCGACAAAGGCCCGTGGCTGCCGGTACAGGGCAATCCTGGGGAAGTTCAGAGTGGGCTTCCTAGGGCTTGAAACGGGAGTGTCAAGAACCATTTAGCCGGCACAACTCCTGTGTGTCGCTTTGTCATTTCCATTTAACGGAAGACGAGGCTCTCAGAGCGAAGGATGCTAAGCCCCACACTGAATGCGGCCCTGCTATTTTGCAGACCGGCGCTCGGAGAGGCGCAGCCGACTGCCAGGGGCACCATGGGTGTGTCAGGCCTGGATGGGCAGCCTGAGCAAGGTAAATGCGAGGAACGAAGGAGGGCTGTGTGGGCTTGGGAAGCCAAGGGAGAGAAGGGACAGGGGCCTTGTGCCAGTGCTCACAAGGTGGGCCGGCGGGCCCAGTTCAGACAGAGCAGCGGAGGGTGGAGACACTCACCTTGTTCACTTGGCAAACCTGCAGCAGGCTGAACGCATCCAGGAAGGAGAAGACTCTCAACAACGGCACTTCAGGCAGCTGCATCTCCATCTTACGTGGCCGGGGCCCACATCCGGTCTCCTTTCTCCTCTACTGGTTGCCCTGAATTTAAAGGCTTGGCCCAAGTCTGCAGCACTTGGGGAGGATTCCCACCCACAGCCCATCTGGCTTTGAGAGGAACAGGCTGCAGGTGAGCAGATCCGCAGCCTGGCCTCCGCTTCCACCTGCCGCCGTCCAGGAGCCAGAGCCACGCAGCTGAGGGCCTCACTCCGCACACTCGCTTGTTAGCGTTCAGTGTTTAAATGCCACCAACACCACCTTTTTTTAACACAGTGAACTGAAAGTGCAGGACTTGTCAGAACTCTAGGAAACCTCAACTAACACTCACTCATCAAATTCAAGTCTCTATGTGACGTTAAATTCCAAATCACTGGGGTAGGGAGTCTGCTTCCCACACTGATGTGTCTGCTTTGGGACATTGGATCTGGCCAGCAGGGCCTGTCTCCCAGCACCGATCCAACCCCAGCTTTCCGCCTCTGGGCATTTAACCTTCCAGTGGAAGGAGAAAGTGCGGGCTGAGCAGTCCTGCGACATTCAGTGCTGGTGAGCCCTTCCTTAGACGGCTGCCTGCAGCCTGACCCGCAGCCCTGGTTCTAGAAGTACCATTTTTCCCCACAATGCTATCTGCTCAGTTATCCGAAACCAGACTGGGCTTGTCAGGGGCCATTAAATGTCCTCTATCTCGGAATTTAGGATGGGAAACGTTCCACATTGATGGGCCCATAAAATACGAACCGGGTCACTGTGAGGAGGCTGAGCTTTTCATCCTGTCGAATTAGGTTCATTAAAAACTGGCTGGAAGAGAATGGTGTTTAAAGAAAAAACTCCTGGTTTAAAGAGAGATAAAGGGGGTCTTATTATATCTTTTATATCAGCAATTCTAGTTCTGAAGTCTCCGTTTCCCTGAACTATGCCCTTCTACCAATTATAAAATTAAAATAAAATCTCTGTTTCTTGATTTACCTAATTCAAGTGAATGAACAAGCTGTTAATCACCCACTACCTTTAATACCAACAAAAGTTCATGTTAGAATTTATGAGACCTTGATATACACTGTGAGCTTTTCTTCAAATAGGTTCACATATGGATAAACCCCGCATGGGACTGGAGCCTGGCGATCAGCGGCTTTCCAGCTCTACGGGCCCAGGACACTGACTGTTGCAGCTGCTTCCAGGTGGCCGCGTGCTCTGCCCTCGGTGGGGTGGGAATGACGCTTTCACACTGACCGGATCTTGGAATCTCCCTCTAGGTCTCTCGTTTTCTCTCTCTAACTAAGCGATCCTGTAATTGCATCGAGGTCCTTCTCTCCGCCTGCCTCCTGCCTGGGGCCCCTGTGTTTATGCCCCAGGTGCGAGTGCCAGCAGCGTCCAGAGGAAGCGAGGCCCCTCTCTTGCCCGTCCGCGCTTCCCCTGAGCTGGGCCAGCGGCCTTACGACCCGTATTTTGGATTCTTTCTCGGGTAAGTCACTTGTCTCGGTTCCATTAGGTCTTTTTCTGAGGTTTCATCTTGTCCTTCCGTTCGGGACCGAGTCCTGTTTCATCTTCCGTGGCTGTCGGCTGGTTTCTCTGCAGCAGGTAAAGCAGCCGCCTGGCCCAGCCTCGAGGGCGAGGCCTCCTGCGGGAGACGGGCCTCGCTGTCGCCTGCCTCGCTCTTGGCTGTCTCAGGCTTTGGGGACTGTCCAAGCGCCTAGCTTATTTCTAGTGGGTCCTAGTGGCTGAGGGTGTGCTAAGACCTGCCAGTGTCTCAAAAGAGAAGATCTCAGTCAGCACCTAGATTCAGGAAGCCAAATGCTCAGGCAGCAGCTTTTATTGCTATTATTTATTTTATTTTATCATTTTGATTTTCAGTTATAGTTGACATACATTATTATATTAGTTTCAGGTGTACACCCCAGTGATTAGACATTACATAACCTACTAAGTGATCATCCCGATAAATCTCGCACCCACCTGACACCACTCATAATTATTAGAATATTATTGACTATATTCCCTATGCTGTGACTGTTCTGTAACAACCAATTTGTACTTCTTCATCCCTTCACCTTTTTATACCCATCCCCCCAACCTCCTGGCAATGGTCATCTGGCAATGGTCAAAACATTCTCTGTATCTATAAGTGTTTCTGTTCACGCAGCAGCTTTTAAAAGTATGTAAATCCACCTCCGTCAGGGCAAGACTGGGAGATGGGCAGTTCTGTCCCCTCCCTCTGTGCTGAGTCCTGAGGTGACAGCCAGTGAAGAACTGTTTCTTTGCTGCTGTCCCAGTGAACTGTGAACACAAGCCCCCCTGGACACGAGAATCAGGCTGTCAGGGCATGTGTCCTCTGGGCAGCAGACACAAGAGCGAGGACGCCAGACTGGTGTGAAAGCGCCTGTCTCAGACACTGAAGATCTGAGGCAGGGCAGAGGGAGAGCCGGAGATTTGTGATTCCTATTTTACACCCTGCCACGCACACTGGGACACCCAGTGCAGGCACAGGTGGTGAGGGTGACGACTGGGGCAGAGCCATGGTGGTCTAAGAGGAAAGCTGTGGGCGCAGGGTGGGGCTGGGCCTTCTGGTTGGCAGAGCCTGAACCTGCAGAGAGAGCGCTCCCGTGGGTCATGTTTGTTAACTCTCTTCACCCCTCAGATGTTTCAGGAGCTTCAATAATCTTTAGGCGCTTCCCACCTGCCTGCCACTGTTTTAAGTATCAAGCTTCCATCTACTTCTGGGTCACCTGGATGTGGCTTCTGGTGTGCACCTTGAGACATCCCAGCCACAGTGTAGCACGTTTACCAAGGGCCCTCTACTTTGCTGGGTCTTGAAATTTGATGTTTTCCTCTTTAGCCTTGAGAGACTGGGGGATATTTTAGAGGCTTTCCACCCAACTTCTTATCCCCCTACTTAGTGAAATCCAAGCAACTGGCAAATGCCTCAAGGAGAAACCAGACCATATGTTGGGGTCTCGTCCTTTGCCCCCTTCCCCTGCAGCACTGGCCATCCGAATCCTGGCTCCCTTGCCAGCTACAAATTTCAATTTTGCCATTTTCTGTTGCTCACTTCTCTGTCACTTAGCAACAACTCTGCCCAGACCACCTCGTGCCTGGATTTCCAGGCTCCCTCGTGTCATTACAGCCCAATGCCAAAAGGCAAAAATCAGATACAGACTTTTGGCTCCCCTCTCCGATTCACTTCCTTTGGGCATCTGCCCGTTCAAGTCTTAGTTGCCCTGGCAGCTCTCTGATGATATCAAACAGATTTTTAAAAAAAAATCTTATTTCCCTTTTAATCTGTTTTGCGTGGGAGCATGAGTCTTCCACAGGCTACTCCATCATAGGTAGGAAAGGATGTCTGGATTCCTGGTTCAAATGATGCCTGTTTCCCGACGACTCCCATGTTTACACATCCTTCTCTGGCATAATGCGATTTTAAACCCGTTGTCTTCTTAACATCTGGACTCTGATTTTTAAAGGCATCTCAGGCCAGCTGGTGCTGCTCAATGGTTGAGCGTCTACCCAATGCACCAAGAGGTCACCAGTTCAATTCCTGGTCAGGGCACATGCCCCACTGTGAACTCGACCCCCGGTAGGGGGCGAGCAGGAGGCAGCTGATCCATGTTTCTCTCTCATCAACATTTCTCTCTCTCTGCCTCTCCCTTCCTCTCTCTAAAATCAATAAAAATGTACTTACAAACCAAAAAAAAAGGCATCTCAGACTTCACATGTTTAAAATAGAATTCTTCCTGGTCCCACAAATGCACATTTTCCCTGTGTTCTCATGCATAGTAAATGCCACTTACATTCATCCTCTCACTTGGCCCAAAACTCTCAAAGTTTTCTAGATTCTCTTTGCCTGTGACCCTCTTCTCGTGTAGTCCCTCGTCACTTCCTTCACATGTCAGCTCAGATGCTATCTCCACATCAGGTTCTCCCTAAAATAATATTTCCCCTCAAGTTCGGCTCTTTATGCTATTTTATTTGTCCTCATTACCCTTCAGAGCCCCTGTAATTAGATTGTAAATAAATTAAGTAAATTTATTTGTTTATGTTCATTGTCTCTCTCCCTCTGTGGAATATAATTTCTTTGATGAAAGGAATCTGTCTCTCTGACTCACTTCTGAATCATAGTCCAGGCTTGTTTCTGGAAACATAAGATTTAATTACAGTAATATGAGGAATGAAGGAATGGATGAATACATTCGGAACGGAGGAGCAGTTCAAGGACTTTGAGCGCCATCAGCACCACCAACCATGGCAAATGCGGAGGAGCTCCCGCTCGATACGAGGGCAGATGCAAGTGAAACACGAGGCTTCATTTTCCCTGTGGAAAAGAAGGAAGTGAGTTCCTTCCCTTTTCTTAGAGTATTTACTTTAGAAATCTCATCACTATAAATTCTTTCTCTATCTCTTTGACATATATATAAATTTTTTTAGAAGCTAAAATGTCGCTTGCCAGCTTTATGACCCAGGAATGTCTTTCTAAAGGACCTGAGAGCCCAGCTGGTGTGGTTCAGTGGTTGAGCAATGACCTATGAACCAGGAGGTCATGGTTCAATTCCTGGTCAGGGCACACGCCCGAGTTTGGGGCTCGATCCCCAGTAGGGGGCGTGCAGGAGGCAGCCGATCAATGACTTTCTCATCATTGATGTTCCTCCCTCTCTCTCTCTCCCTTTCCCTTCCTCTCTCTCTGAAATCAATAAATATTTTTTTTAATAAAAATAAGTAAATAAATAAGGGACCTGGAAGACATCTCTTTGAAATACAAACATGCCTAGCAGCTGGCAGAGCACACCTACAGGCTGTATGGCCTGTAAAAGAAAATTCATTATGGTAAGAAGGGCCGAGCGGATGTTCCTATAACTTCCTTGACTGACTGAAGTATTGTAAAGCGACTGACTACAGTTCTACCTGCACCCAGGTAGAACTGCAGTCTTAAAGACAAAGGAAATGTAGGCCCATCGCAGCCCAAGTCGGGCCATTGCAAAAGCATGGTGGAGTGTGGAGACGAG